ATTTTATTTAAATTTTTCAAAGGAAAAACATATAAAATTGAGTCAAACAAACTCAGTGAATTTTAAGCCTAAAAATAAATCGTCTAACATCAACTAATCCATTAATTTAGAAAAAATTGATACAATTTTTTTTGAATTACTTTTTTTTTTCAAAGTTTTGGTCATTAGACTATCAAGCTAATGCATTAAGACAGAATATGTTAGACGCATTTAATTTTTATCCTTTTATAAAAATAGTTCAATTTTTATAATTTAGTTCAGTTTTTATAGTTCAGTATAGTTCAACTTTTCAACAGTTCAGTTCAGTTATTTTTAAATGGTTCAATTCAATTTTTTTTAAATGGTTCAGTTCAATTTTTTTACAAACAATTCAATTTTTTTATAGTTCAATTCAGTTCACTACTAGTTCAACTCAGTTCAGTTTTTTTTGCCTAACTCTATTTATATGTCTTGTCCCTTGATGTAATATGGTCAAAATGTAGAGTACATAAGCCAATTATTTTGTAAGGTTAATTAATTTAGGCTATAAATCACATATTTTAGAATGTTATTTTTCTCTTGTTTTTCTTTTTTCACAACAAAACGTTTTTTCTTGTTAATGAAATCAGTTGTTCAAAGTTGGAGGAACTTGTCAACATTTGTCGCCAAAGTGGTGCACTTGGGGCTAGACTTACTGGAGCTGGATGGGGTGGTTGTGCTGTTGCTTTGGTGAAAGACAGCATTGCCCCACAATTTATTCTTCATTTGACGCTTTGCATTTTTTTTAAAAAAAAATTGCTTCTACTTAACTATCAAAATTAGAATTGGAATAAGCAAGTAGTTAAAGCGTTCTAGTGATGCAGCCATTTTCTAGTTTTAGTAATATATCAATTCCTTCATCCTTACTTTGAAGGCTGAAAACATTTTAATGTTAGGTGATGCTTGTTTCAAAGGTATATATGTAATTATATTTTCAAGATGGCCCCCGGCCCAACCATAAAGTTGGCCCATTGACTTTAGATTAATAAAACAAATATTTAATACTATTTGTTGGTTTAGTATAATACTTCATCCGTTCTTCTTTATAAGAAAAATCACTTGTTTATATATATATATATATATATATATATATATATATATATATAAACCGGATATAGTAATAATAATGATATTTTTATTAGATAAAGTTTGAATATCGTTAAAGAAAAATATTATTTTTATTTTTATAAAGTCCATAATTTGGTTCCTGATATGTACAACTCCCTATATTGATAATACATTTTTATTATATGTTTTTTCCCAAAATACCCTTAACAGTTTTAATATTTTCTAATTTTTTGACTTTACAAACTTTCCTTATTTTCAAGGTTCAATTTTTTTTTCAAGCATTTTCTCCAATTTTTCTTTTTTCTTTTCTTTCCAAAACATAAAATTTTAAGATTATCGTGTGTTAAGTCAATAAATGATTTTAGATCCTTCAAATTATAAGTTTTAATGACAAGAATTTATATTTTTTCAAAAAAAAAAGTTTTTAGATCACTTTATAAGATGAATGACAATAAGACAATTAGTTATCATTATTATCAAACAAATCACTTCGTTTGTAAGATAATTCTTTTTAATATATATCATTTTGATATTTGAAAATTAAGTCATTTTTATATATGTTATTCTTTAACCGATTGAAAGGAATAAGAAAGTTTCTTTGTTACTCTAATTCACAAAGGAACAAATAAAAAACATGCTTTGTCATAAAAAAGACTAGCATACCTCTCAAAGCATGTGGAATCTTAGAGAAAGTTGTTTTTGAATCAACGCATGCATGGTTCCTCTCTTTTGATACCTAAAATGTGATAAGCAACTTCTTTGATCAAATAAAAAATGACAATTTCATTAAATGCATTTAGTGCTCAATTTAATGCACCAATAGGCACTTTTCTCTAAAAGGAAAAAAAATGAAGACAAACAAAGCAAGTTTGTGATAAATTTTCAAAGATTTGCAATGGTCATCTTCATAGAAATATCTATATAAAGAAGCTTAGAGTTTTTAGAAAGATATAGAAGAAAAGATCGACTTACAATAAATAACATTCTTTTGTGATATTAACATTCTTTTTTGTAAACATCATTGTACTTAATTGGTATCACTCCTTGATAGTAAGACTAAACAACATAGTTATTTTTTTTGTTTTAAAATCCAAATCAAACTGAAACGAACCGTTTTATGAAAGTGGATCGATTAACCGATCCATTTTTTATAAAGTAGATTGGTTTATTTTTTTTTTAAATATGGATCAGTTTTTTTTTTAAATTGGATTGGTGCTATATGGTGCAATTATCCATTTTTTTACTCATATATGTATAACATCCCGAATTTTCTACTAGTATAATGACTAATTATTATATATTTTTATATTTATGAAGATTAATTTCTTATAATTTTTTATGGGTTTTCTAGAATATTTTAAAGGTTTTTAATAATTATGAGTACTTTAATAATAAATATTTATGAAATTATTTTTGGATAATATTTTGATTTTTAGTAGCTTAGAACGGGTCGTTCTCAAACTGGAACGGGTCGTTCCAAACTACTAAAATGGCCTATAAAGGCTATATTGGAACGGGTCGTTTCAACTAAGGATTTTATGAGTAAAATGCGAAGTCAGAACGAGCTGTTTCGATTTGGGAACAGGCTGTTCCAGACATGGCTATTGTGAGTAAAATGTAATTTTAGAATGGGCCATTCTAGTTTTGGAACAGGCCGTCCTGAATGTGAAATTTAAGCATGACGAGTGAATCCAGAACGGGCCGTTCCGGATTCGAAACGAGCCTTTCTAGCCACCCATGATGCCTATAAATAGAACGCTCTGGCACTCTCAAAAGCACGTTTTTCACTTCTGATCTCTTTTTTCTTCTACACTCTCTGAAGATCAAGGGAGAACCCAGAGGAAGGGGCTAGCAAGATCTAACTTTAGTTTCAGTTCCTGCTTATCGAGGTAAGGGGGGAGTGAGAAACCTTGCTTTGAGTGTAGGAATATATGTTGGGTAATGGGATTGGTCTCCAATCCTGTTTGTTGTATGCTCATGTATGAGGGGTTTTTTCCAATTATATATGTTTCTTCTATTGCTCTTTTTATATGTAAATAATTGTATGATTTGAGATCTCTGTAGGTTCTTGAGAGAACCCTATGAAAACAGGCAAAATATGAATGCTTTCTGTTTTGTTTTCTAATTGCTTTATTGTATTCCTGGCTGAATGTAATGTCTGAATATGTGATTAATTTTGAGAATAAAAATGTTTTGATATAAATTAGAGTGCTCTATGGGTTCCTGCGTGAAACCCTATGAGGAACAGACAAATTTCTAATATTTTATGTTTTGCTCTCTGATTATTCTATTATATTCCTTGTTGAATGAGGTATACAAATATGTGTCTACTTTCATAAATAGATAAGTTTTGATATGAATTAAAGTGCTATGTGGAGACTATGTGAATATGATGTGATATGATAATGTGATATGATGATGTGATATGATGATGTGACATGATGATGTGACATGTTGTGTAAACAGTTTTTTGGTGATAATAATAAAAATGTTACTTTTTTTTTTTATATGACATAACATTGAAAGTATGGTTTTTGAAGGTACAAAGGATTTTATGACTACGTAAAATTGAAAGGAGTGGATGTTGGTCAACCGGTGGGG